CAGGATCATTAAGGAAAGTTAATTATTGGGAAACTCGGTTCCTGGTGGCCATCCCTGGACACAAAAAGAAAAAAAAAAATATATATATTTATACATACTGTATATATATATAAAGACACACTCACCGGCCACTTTATTAGGTCCACCTGTTCAATGGCTTGGAAACAAAAAATGGCTAATCAGCCAATCACATGGCAGCAACTCAATGCATTTAGGCATCTAAACGTGGAGAAGATGACTTGCTGAAGTTCAAACCGAGCATCAGAATGGCAAAGAAAGGGGATTTAAGTGACTTTGAATGTGGCATGGTTGTTGGTGCCAGACGGGTTGGTCTAAGTATTTCACAAACTGCTGATCTACTGGGATTTTCACCCACAACCATCTCTAGGGTTTACAGAGAATGGTCCAAAAAAGAAAAAATATCCAGTGAGTGGCAGTTGTGTGAATGAAAATGCCTTGTTGACATCAGAGGTCAGAGGAGAATGGGTAGACTGGTTCCAGATGATAGAAATGCAACAATAATGTTACAACCAGGGGCGAACTGACAACTCATGGGGCCCCAGGGCAATAGGGGATCATGGGGCCCCGTGTCCTTGCCCAAACTCAAAAAAGCCTATGAAAAAGGTACCAGGGGCATCTCATGGGGCCCCCTACTGACCCCGGGCCCTCAGGCAGTGCCCGAGTTTCCAAATGGTCTTTCCGCCCCTGGTTACAACCAAGGTATGCAGAATACCATCTCTGAACACACAACACAATGAACCTTGAAGCAGATGGTCTACAGCAGCAGAAGACCACACCGGGTGCCACTCCTGTCAGCTAAGAACAGGAAATGGAGGCTACAATTTTTGTACAGGCTCACCAAAATTGGACAATAGAAGACTGGAAAAAATGGTGCCTGGTCTGATGAGTCTTGATTTCCCTAGAGATGGTTGTGCATGAAAATCCCAGTAGATCAGCAGTTTTTTAAATACTCAGAGCAGTCTGTCTGGTACCAACAACCATGCCACGTTCAAAGTCATTTAAATCCCCTTTCTTCCTCATTATGATGCTCGGTTTGAACTTCAGAAAGTCACCTTCAACACGTCTAGATGCCTAAATGAATTGAGTTGCTGCCATGTGATTGGCTGATTAGCAATTTGTGTTACCAAGCCATTGAACAAGTGTACCTAATAAAGTGAGTATATATACACTATATTGCCAAAGGTATTGGCCCCGCCCTCAAAATCATGTGATTCAGGTGTTCCAATCCCCTCCATGGCCACAGGTGTATAAAATCAAGTACTTAGGTATGCAGACTGCTTCTACAAACATTGGTGAAAGAATGGATCGCTCTCAGGAGCTCAGTGACTCCAAGCGTGGTCCCGTGATAGGTGGTCACCTGTGCAATAAGTCCATCCGTGACATTTCCTGGCTACTAAATATTCCACGCTCAACTGTTAGTGGGATTATAACAAAGTGGAAGCAACTGGGAACAACAGCCACTCAGCCACCAAGTGGTAGGCCACGTCACAGGAGTCAATAGCTAAAAACCTACAAACTTGGTGTGGCCTTCAGATGAGCCCAACAACAGTGCGTAGAGAGCTTCATGGAATGGGTTTCCATGGCCGAGCAGCTGCATCCAAGCCTTCCATCACCAAGTGCAATGCAAAGCGTCGGATGCCATGGTGTAAAGCACGCCACCACTGGACTCTAAAGCAGTGGAGACGTGTTCTCTGGAGTGACCAATCATGCTTCTCTATCTGGCGATCTGATGGAAGTGTCTGGGTTTGGTGGTTGCCAGAAGAACAGTACTTGCCTGACTGAATTGTGCCAAGCGTAAAGATTGTTGGAGGGGGATTATGGTGTGGGGTTGTTTTTCAGGGGTTTGGCTTGGCCCCCTAGTTCCAGTGAAGGGAACTCTTAAGGTGTCAGCATACCAAGACATTTTGGACAATGTCATGCTCCCAACTTTGTAGGAAGAATTTGGGGATGGCCACTTCCTGTTCCAACATGACTGCACACCAGTGCACAAAGCAAGGTCCATAAAGACATGGAGGAGCCAGTTTGGGGTGGAGGAACTTGACTGTCCTGCACAGAGTCCTGACCTCAACCCCATAGAACACCTTTGGAATGAATTAGAGCGGAGACTGTGAGCCAGGCCTCCTCCCCCGACATCAGTGCCTGACCTCACAAATGTGCTTCTGGAAGAATGGTCCAACCTTCCCATAGACACCCTGCTAAACCTTGTGGACGGCCTTCCCAGAAGAGTTGAAGCTGTTATAGCTGCAAAGGGCGGGGCCAACTCAATACTGAACCCTACGGACTAAGACTGGGGGGCCATTAAAGGTCATGTGATTGTAAAGGCAGGAGGCCAATACTTTTGGCAATATAGTATATATATATATACAGGATATATATAGATAGATAGATATAGACAGATAGGAGATAGATAGATAGATAGATAGATAGATAGATAGATAGATAGATAGATAGATAGATAGATAGATAGATAGATAGATAAGAGTAATACTGAAGATAGATACCCTCAAAGTGGTTCACATACTTTTGGCAATATAGTATGTTTTAGGAAAATACCACATTATGGCCACTAGATGGGGCTGGCGATCAGAGGAAAGAAACATAATTAGCTACTGAAGCATAATTAGGGAGTTGAAGCTGTTATTGCTGCAAAGGGCGGGGCCAACTCAATATTGAACCCTACGGACTAAGACTGGGGGGCCATTAAAGTTCATGTGATTGTAAATCAATACTTTTGGCAATATAATATATAATATATATATACACAGGATAGATAGATAGATAGATAGATAGATAGATAGATAGATAGATAGATAGATAGATAGATAGATAGATAGATAGATAATAGATAGATAGATAGATAGATAGATAGATAGATAGATAGATAGATAGATAGATAGATAGATAGATAGATAGATAGATAGATAGATAGATAGATAGATAGATAGATAGATAGATAGATAGATAGAGTAGATACTGTAGATAGATACCCTCAAAGGGGTTCACATACTTTTGGCAATATAGTATGTTTTAGGAAAATACCACATTATGGCCACTAGATGGGGCTGGCGATCAGAGGAAAGAAACATAATTCCCAATGGCTGTGCGGTCATCTCAGCAATTTTTTTCTTTTTTTTATAAATAGGCCCCTGATACTTTACACTCCTTTTATTTTGATCCACTTGGAATATATTTATCTGATTTAATTTGTAGCCTAATTAGATTTTTAGTTTTCGATTTCAGCTGAAGTGCACCTCTCACTCCATCTCGGAATACCTGGGAATAAGACAGATCAGGGTTTGCCGGTAAAATCAGGCCCTGCACATAATTAACCCCAATCAGTATCCATCTTATGCTGAATCGTAGTCAAATACATGTCAAGGCTTATCAGAATCATTATCTAGAACAATAGAATATTCTGGGAATTCTTGGCAGGATGATAAAAGCTGCCGGTGATGCGGGGAGACAAGTGGTGCTCGGTGTCCAGGTGATGCAAGCAGATGCAATGTCACCAGATGAAAGCATGTAGACAGTGTTGGCAGCGCAGTAACCCCGCCATGTGTGAACATGTGAGGATCCTTGTACAAAGGGCGGCAGACGCACACAGAGCGCACGGCAGGTAGCGCAATGACATGAAAGTCATTTACAGCGGCGCATCGTCAAAATCGAACTCGTACATGGAGGAACATAAGAAATGTCACCACGTACACCGAGGAAATGTCAGCGAGCGTTTTATCCGTACAATGTACCGGAGATGATTATTAACCTGGAGCCGGAGGGAAACGCCAATCACCTCCTGTAATTAGAGCGCTGTGCGCAATTCCTGGGGATTAAAGGAGGATATTGCATTAAGACAATGAAGTCACTACAAGCAATTACCATGTCTACCTGTTGTCCTTACAGATTTTTTTTTCAACCCGGTTCACCCCAGGTTCACACCTAAGCGTTTTCCGCCGCGTTTTGCGGAAACGCAGTACAGTCCATTTAACATGGTCAACTACGGGACAGGTTCACATCTCTGTGTTTTCACACGGGACGTTTTTTTGGAAAGGATCAGGGACTTTTTTGAATGCAAATATTTGCGTTTTTGGTTCTATAGATGTCAATGGAAATGCTGCAGAAAAGCTCGTATTTCGGTTTCAATGTTTTTTTGATGCGTTTTTGCCACATTTTGATGCATTTTGCGTTTTAGGCAGCATGTACACGGGACGTTTGGAAAACACTTCTGAAAGATGGAAACTGACTGATGGAAAATGTAGGTTAAAAAAAACGCTTGTTTAGCCACGTTTATGAGCATTTGCGTTTTTTAAAGATAACCTCAGGAGACCTTCCAAAATACCCAGAATGCACTGAAAACAGTAAAAAAATTAACTATTTCAGACATTTTGAGAGAAATAGAGAGAGCAGAAGAAGAGAGAACAGTATGTGTTGAGATGCAGGGGTGTCCCTAGGGTTGGTGTCACCCTGTGCAGTAACACTTGGTGACATCCCCCTCCGATGATCCCCGCAGAATGGGTCGGATCTGCGGATTGAGCATAATGAATTGGGTGAAAGCAATATTTCTAGCACCAGACCTGCTCTGTAACACCAAACCAATCACCTGTAGGGGCTCTCCCCGGACCCCGCATTCACTATATCCGGTCTCCCCGGACCCCGCATTCACTATATCCGCTCTCCCCGGACCCCGCATTCACTATATCCGGTCTCCCCGGACCCTGCATTCACTATATTCACTCTCCCCGGACCCCGCATTCACTATATCCGGTCTCCCCGGACCCTGCATTCACTATATCTGCTCTCCCCGGACCCTGCATTCACTATATCTGCTCTCCCCGGACCCCGCATTCACTATATCCGGTCTCCCGGACCCTGCATTCACTATATCTGCGGTCTCCCCGGACCCGCATTCACTATATCGGTCTCCCCGGACCCTGCATTCACTATATCTGCTCTCCCCGTACCCTGCATTCACTATATTCTGCTCTCCCCGGACCCTGCATTCACTATATTCGGTCTCCCCGGACCCTGCATTCACTATATCTGGTCTCCCCGGACCCTGCATTCATTATATCTAGTCTCCCCGGACCCTGCATTCACTATATCCGCTCTCCCCGGACCCTGCATTCACTATATTCGGTCTCCCCGGACCCTGAATTCACTATATCCGCTCTCCACAGACCCCGCATTCACTATATCTGGTCTCCCCGGACCCTGCATTCACTATATCTGCTCTCCCCGGACCCTGCATTCACTATATCTGCTCTCCCCGGACCCTGCATTCACTATATTCGGTCTCCCCGGACCCTGCATTCACTGTATCCGCTCTCCCCGGACCCTGCATTCACTATATCCGCTCTCCCCGGACCCCGCATTCACTATATCCGGTCTCCCCGGACCCTGCATTCACTATATCTGCTCTCCCCGGACCCTGCATTCACTATATCCGGTCTCCTTGGACCCCGCAATCACTATATCCGCTCTCCCCGGACCCTGCATTCACTATATCTGGTCTCCTCGGACCCTGCATTCACTATATCCACTCTCCCTGGACCCTGCATTCACTATATCCGGTCTCCCCGGACAATGCATTCACTATATCTGGTCTCCCCGGACCCTGCATTCACTATATCCGGTCTCCCCGGACCCTGCATTCACTATATCTGGTCTCCTCGGACCCTGCATTCACTATATCCGGTCTCCCCGGACCCTGCATTCACTATATCCGCTCTCCCCGGACCGTGCATTCACTATATCTGGTCTCCTCGGACCTTGCATTCACTATATCCAGTCTCCTCGGACCCCGCAATCACTATATCTGGTCTCTCAGGACCCTGCATTCACTATATCCGGTCTCCCCGGACCCTGCATTCACTATATCCGGTCTCTCGATGCATTCACTATATCCGCTCTCCCCGGACCCTGCATTCACTATATCTGGTCTCCCCTCGCATTCACCCTCCCCGGACCCTGCATTCACTATATCCGGTCTCCCCGGACCCTGCATTCACTATATCCGCTCTCCCCGGACCCTGCATTCACTATATCCTGGTCTCCCGGACCCTGCATTCACTACTATCTCCCCGGACCCGCTCTATATCCGCTCTCCCCGGACCCCTGCATTCACTATATCTGGTCTCCCCGGACCCCTATATCTGGCATGCATTCACTATATCCGGTCTCCCCGGACCCTGCATTCACTATATATCTGGTCTCCTTGGACCCTGCATTCACTATATCTGGTCTCCCCGGACCCTGCATTCACTATATCTGGTCTCCCCGGACCCTGCATTCACTATATCTGGTCTCCATTCACTAGTACTCCCACAGTACATACAACATGGAAATGCAATTATTTTAGTAAATATAAACTGTTAAATATCTTTTCTCATCAGCAGTTAGAGCGGTCTTGTGACTTCTATCAGTGTCCAGCAGAGCATTGGTTAAACTTGTAGGAGGAGTTTTGTTTCTGTTCTAGGAGGATGCAGAACCCCTGCCTCTCTGTCTGGACAGTGCTGATTGACCCTGTGCTGATCACATGTACTCTCCCAAGAAAAACAAAAATATGCATCAAACTGAGCATGTGCATGTGACTACAGGTGCAGTCTCTCTTATCAGGTGGACATTTGAACAAGGGGAGGATCAGAGAAGACAGGATCAAACAGCCTTTTTACATAATGCAGAGGATTAACCCCTTAGGTTCCACAGTGAGTATAACAAGCATGCTTTACTGCATCTACAGACTGAATGTACTGCTGTGGGTTTAGTAACACTCTGAAGAGCAGGAAATCCTTTCTCTTTTAATTCTTCCTCAGGGTCTCGGAGACCAGCTCATAATTGAATACCTGCTTTAGGATCCGTCACACATCGATGGAATATTCCATGTTTGATCCTAATACATTTCACTTGTGCTCACAAGACAAAACAGACGCAACAAATGTGCCCGCAGCGTCTCCGTTCATTGAATTACCGGCTCCTCTATTCCAGAGTAACGCTCCTAACTCCATTGCTGCTCACAGAACGACAATACGCTATGTTGTGTTTATCTAATGGACTGATAATTCAATTGCAGCCGGGGACGGGGTGGGGTGAATGGAAGCAGGAGACGCGGTTTGATGCGCCGTCTGCGGGAGATGCTGAGGGAGCAAAAAACATTCAAAGTTCACCTCTACTTTAGAGGCCCTTAGTTATTTGAAATGCAAAGTCATAGAGATGTATGCTTAAAAGAAAAAAATTTATTTTTTTAAAAAAATCATCTACTTTTTTTTTTTTAGTTTTATCAACCGAATCTGTCTTGTGTAGGGATGAGCCGAACTGCCCCGGAAGAGGTTCGGATGCCGAACCTGATCCTAAGGGTCCTTTCACACGGGGCGGACATATGTAGCGTATCCGCTTGTTGAGCAGGAGATCTTTCTGATGATCCCCTCTGAGCAAGCGGATGATAGGTCTGTGTCCACTCCACTGCTGATAAAAATCTATACCGGCCCCTAATCCAAGCATGCAACTTGGCTGGCCAATAAAAGGGGGGGGGAATGAGCATGTGCCTCCCCCACTTCCTGAACCATATCAGGAAACTTGCCCTCAATGTAGAGAACAAAGGCCACTTCCCCATAACCCTTGGACTGGTGGTTATGGGGGTCTGCTGGCCGATGCCAGCTTAACAAACCAGATAGACCCATTTCTGGTCTAAATGGTATGGGTGGCACAGGCACAGATGGACCCTTTGGGGTTTCTTTACTAAAGCTGGAGAGTCCAAAATCAGACTCCCTTTTGCATAGAAACCAATCAGCTTCCAGGTTTCATTGCCAAAGCTTCATTGAACAAGCTGAGGTTAGAAGCTGATTGGTTTCTATGCAGAAGGGAGTCTGATTTTGGACTCTCCAGCCTTAGTAAATAAACCCCTTTGAGTCTGGCATGGATTTTAATGGGGTACCCCATTCAAAAAAAACAAAACAAATGCATGAGACCCCCTAAGATTCTATACCAGACCTTTAATCCAAGCATGCAACCTGGCTGGCCAAGAAAGGGAAGGGGGGATGAGCATGCACCTTCCCCACCTCCTGAACCATACCAGGCAACATGCCCTCAATGTAGGGGGGGGGGGGGGGCTACCTGGTCAGGGAGGATTTCCCTGACAAATCACCTTGTTCCCATTTTGATGAGAACAAAGGCCACTTCCCCACAACCCTGGACTGGTGGTTATGGGAGTCTGCTGGCCGATGCCAGTTTAACAAACCAGATAGACCCATTTATGGTCTAAATGGTATGGGTGGCACAGATGGACCCTTTGAGTCTGGTATGGATTTTAATGGGGTACCCCATTCAAAAAAACAAAACAAATGCACCCCCTGAGATCCAAACATGCAACCTGGCTGGCCAAGAAAGGGAAGGGGGATGAGCATCTACCTTCTGAACCATATCAGGAAACATGCCCTCAATGTAGAGGGGGGGGGGCTACCTGGTCAGGGGGGATTTCCCTGACAAATCACCTTGTTCCCTTTTTGATGAGGACAAGGTCCACTTCCCCACAACCCTGGCCCGGTGGTTATGGGGGTCTGCTGCCATGCCAGTTTAACAAACCAGATAGACCCATTTCTGGTCTAAATGGTATGGGTGGCACAGATGAACCCTTTGAGTCTGGTATGGATTTTAATGGGGCACCATTCCCAAAACCATGAGACCCCCCTAAAATTCTATACCATAATCCAAGCATGCAACATGCCCTCAATGTAGAACCATATCAGGAAACATGGAGGGGGGGGGGCTACCTGGTCAGGGAGGATTTCCCTGACAAATCACCTTGTCCCCCATTTTGATGAGGACAGGGGCCACTTCCCCACAACCCTGGCCTGGTGGTTATGGGGGTCTGCTGGCCGATGCCAGCTTAACAAACCAGATAGACCCATTTCTGGTCTAAATGGTATGGGTGGCACAGATGGACCCTTTGCGTCAGGTATGGATTTCAATGGGGTACCCCATTCAAAAAAAAAAAACAAATGCATGAGACCCCCTAAAAATTCTATACCAGACCCTTAATCCAAGCATGCAACCTGGCTGGCCAAGAAAGGGAAGGGGGGATGAGCATGCACCTCCCCCACTTCCTGAACCATACAGGCAACATGCCCTCAATGTAGAGGGTGGGCTACTGGTCAGGAGGGGATTTCCCTGACAAATCACCTTGTCCCCCAATTTTATGAGGACAAGGGCCACTTCCCCACACCCTGGCCTGGTGGTTATTTGCTGGATGCAGTTTAACAAAGCAGATAGACCCATCTCTGGTCCCACATAACCCTATTGGGCTGGTATGGTTTTGGGGGATACCCCATTCAAAAAAAAAAAAAATGAGTTCCCCTAAAAATTATACCAGAACCTTAATCCAAGCATGCAACCCAGGGATGAGCATGACCTCCAGGACAAACTCCCCCCACAGACCCTAGACCCATTTTCTGGTCCCCCTAAATCTATGTCAGACCCTTAATTCAAGCTGACAAAACCTGGCTGTGGCACATGATGGACAAGGCCCACTTCCCACAACTTTGGCCCGGTGATTATGGGGGGGTCTGCAGTTTAACAATGGCCAAGAAATGGGGGGGGGATTTGTGCCTCCAGGACAAGGTCCACTTACCCCCATTAAAAAAAAAAAAAAGGGGGGGAATGAGCTCCTCCTAAAAATCTATACCAGAACCTTAATCCAAGCATGCAAACCTGGCTGGCCAAGAAATTGGTGGGGAATGAGCATGTGCCTCCAGGACAAGGTCCACTTCCCCACAACTTTGGCCCGGTGGTTATGGGGGGTCTGCTGGCCAGTGGCAGTTTGACAATCTGGCTGGCCAAGAAAGGGGGGAATGAGCATGTGCCTCCAGGACAAGGTCCACTTCCCCACAACCCCGGTTCGGTGGTTATCGGGGGTCTGCTGGCCAGTGGCAGTTTGAAAAAGCAGATAGATCCATCTCTAGTCTAACTGGTGTGGGTATCACAGATAGACCAGATGGACTTATTGAGTCTGGTATGGATTTTTGAGATATACTCCATTAAAAAAAAAAATGAGTTCCTCCTAAAAATCTATACCAGAACCTTAATCCAAGGATGCAACCTGGCTGGCCAAGAAAGGGGGGGGGATGAGCATGCACCTCCAGGACAAGGTCCACTCTCCCCACAACCCTGGCCCTGTGGTTATGGGGGGTCTGCTGGCTGGTGGCAGTTTAACAATCTGACTGGCCAAGAAAGGGGGGAATGAGCATATGCCTTCAGGACAAGGTCCACTTCCCCACAACTCCTGCTTGGTGGTTATGGGGGGGGGGGTCTGCTGGCCAGTGGCAGTTTAACAAAAGAGACAGACCCATCTCTGGTCTAACTGATATGGGTATCACCCTTTGAGTTTGGTATGGATTTTAAGGAGGTACTCTATTAAAAAAACAAACAAATACATGAGTTCCCCCAAAAATTTATACCAGACCCTTAATCCAAGCATGCAACCTGGCTGGCCAAGAAAGGGGTGGGGATGAACATGCACCTCCAGGACAAGGTCCACTCCCCCCACAACCCTGGCCCTGTGGTTATGGGGGGTCTGTTGGCTGGTGTCAGTTTAACAAAGCAGTTAAACCCACCTCTCTTCTACATGGTACGGGTATGACAGATAGACCTGAAATGAGTCTGCAACTGAAACTGTTGCTACTTTTAATATTTTCAAATATTTTAAGAAAT